GCCAAAATCCCTGGTTGACCATATTTTGGTGTGGGACGGTGTAGTTCACTGCTGTCTTTGTAACAAAAGCCTCGTTTCTCATGTTATTTCTGGTAAGTGGATGCTTATGTTACTTGGATCACTTGGACAGGAGAGAAGGTTTAAAATCTTTCTCCTGCTGCTCTTTTGAGATCGCATTGACGTGTAACATAGACAAACTGCAACCCTGTAAAAATCAAGACGTCGTTAGGAGGAGGCCTTTCGGGTATTTTTTGTCACTAGTTTTCTCTTATTCCCGAGAACGTCCATCCGATGTAGTTATTGGACTTAACAGTATTGTTGTGTACTACGTTGATGTAGCTGAAAAAGCCTGACAGCAAGAAACTGTGAATAATATTTGTGGCAGTCTCTGAAAACTAGTTTTTCAGTCCAAGTATCATGAAGGAGAATCCCTCTCCCCTACCCCATCCTAGAAAAGTAATTTTATATTTTGTGTGTATAAAGTTTTAAGAATCAAGTTTCATATTGTACTGAAGTTTAGGTGTCGCTTGGTAAATCTTTGCTGCAGCATATAATTGAAGATGAGTAAGGCTTAGTGTGGTAGGGGTCCTGGTGTGGAGTTAATTATCGTACAGTTCTGGTGAGAAAGCCCAACATGTATGAAATGTGTCCTTTTATTTTACTTTATTTGGACTTGTAAGATGTAAAAGTGCTTTTTTAGAACTCTGACCTATTACAAACTATTACCTCACTTTCAGCCAGCTGGATCCTCATTCCACAGTGTTGTAGGCATTATTGTGGCCGTAATGCTTGAGTACAGCTATAGAGTTGAACGTTTCCGGTTAGATATTAGTAGGGACACGTTTCTGGACTCGTTTTTATTTATATCAAGAGATATTTTATTTTCCAGTCATTCCTTGACTTTTTTTCTTAAAGGATCGAGACAGTTTCGTTTAGAATTTCTCATTATTTTTTTTTATTCCCCTGTTGCACAGGAGAAGTTGCTGCATAAGCAATACAGGTATGCTTTACTTTACTTCTTGTTGCAGAACTCATAATTTGATGCTTGCATTACCAGCCCTATTGCTAGACCTGAAGTCAAAAACTGAATTTTCATGGCAATTGGAAAACAAATTACTTTTAACAATGCAGGTGTATGGGTAGAGTAGTGCCTCTAGTAAGGGAACACCTTCTGCTTCTGTGTTCTCACACAACTTCTATACCATCTCTTTTTGTAGAGCTTTCCAATGCTGAAGGATATTCCTAAACATGGGAGGCAACTGCACGTGTGTTTAGAGCGGGTAGAGCAGACCAGTCTGTGCTTTGTCTTGTTGCGGGCCGACATTTGAGTCTAAATACTTCTTTCATGAGAACCTGAGAGTACATTGCCTTCCCTTGGAAGTTCGCAGGAGCTGGCAAGGTGATTCAGGGGCTTTAGGGCTGAGTAAGCTTTGCATAGACCAGAACAACTCTTTAGTTCTGATTGTCTTGCTTTTTTGTATCATCTGCAGCAATTGTTATACAGGCAAAACTGGAATTACCATATGTTTCTTTCCAGTTTACTTTGAAGTAATGCTTGTAAGATGTCCTTGAGTCTTAGGAGAAGAACATAGTGTCCAAGGAGTGAAGGGAACACTGAGCCGTTCCCTTTTTTTTCGAAAACAGTGTGGCTACATCTGTAATGTAAAGAGCTCTTTCTTCAGTGAAGACAAATTTTTAACTCTTCAGTGTAAGAATGCATGCACTTGTTGCAGTCCAAACTCTTACAAAGGCAAAATTATTAACCTGTACTGAAAGCTTTGTCACAATATTTTAAATAGGTTAAATTCTCTGCCAAATGTTAGAGGTAGAATGGGAAGGATTGTTTCCCTCATTTTCATGAGGATCAGAAACTTCTAGGTTTTCCCCAGAAATGTTTCAGAAACAAAACATAATTTCAGTCTAGGTCTATGTTGCTTTTTCTTGGTACCAGTAGATAATGTTGGCTAATACTGGTTTAAAAAGCCGTACCTAGTTTTGGTACTATAAAGGTTTCTACTTGATCTCAAATTATGTTGAAAACTCAGTAATTAGAACCTTCAGAAACCTGAAAGTCTGCACTGCTTGGTTATATGCAGTTCTGATAGATGTAGTAAAGAAAATAACCACTACAGTTACTTATTTCAAATTATCCACCGTATAAACACGGTGTACTGTGGTGATCACTAAGTAGAGAGATATTGTGGACTCAAAATGATCTGTAGATCCACTTCAGATATAACAGAAAAACCTGTTAGTAACAGCATTCCAGTGTCCATCTCTCTCCCTTTCCCCTGTTCTTGCTTTGACTGGGGCCAAGTCGCTATACCAGTATTACAGCAGCAGTTTTGGACTTCATGTCCTACTGAATTATGCCTATATTCAAGCATTGTCATGAAAACCTTCCTATTCAGAAAGCTTTATTTAATCCTCACAAAAATCTGTTAGCCCAGTGACAAAAGCAGTTTTCCTGGGCCATGTGATAGGAGGAAGGATTTTTTCAGCCTGTCCAGGGCATTTCATTCACCTTCTTAAAAACAAACATCCCT